ATTCGGTAAACCTATACAGAACCAAAATTTCAATAGAAGTTTGGTACCTACCAGACGTCATGTGCCCCTTTTACTTTGTCTCTGCTGGTTCATTTAGCTGTGCAAAATATACAACGACCAGATGTTCCGTACACACCATATGTTTGGTAACTACCATATGTCCAGTACTTACACACCCTTTTACAATCAAACGCCTAGTTTTGAGGCCACACTACATATACCCCTTGACCACTTCATGGAGGGCTCGAGTAGCACACTTATATGAACCCTAGAACACAAAAGGCTCCCTCTCACTTTCTCCTGCATCAAATCTCAGATCTATAAGATATTAGTGAGTGTTCTTGAGAGATATTCCACCAAGTGATAGATCCACTCTCTCTCTCTCTCTCTCTCTCTCTCTCTCTCTCTCTCTCTCTCTCTCTCCTTCTAACCGAAGAAATTTGTCATTTGAGCAAGTCTTGAGCATTTCCCATTTATCTTGTTACTCTTAGAGGTTTGAGACTCCTAGGCAATAGGAGTGATCCATTGAGGAATCAACTTGTGATTTGCCACCCCCCCCCCGCCAAAAGGTTGTAAAGGTATGAAGGCCACCTCAAGGTCTACCAATAGTGGTTGAGAATCGCCTTCGTGGTGATATCTCAAGGAGAATGGGGTGAGATTTCGTGGTGTTGTTTCCAACGTTGACTAGCTTCCCTCCAAGGAAGTGGACATCGGGATACATCCTCCTCTCCGTCACTTTAGTTATCCTTAACCACATCTCCTTATTTGTGGTTTACTTTGGTCACTTGACCTCGCATTCACTATATCTTGTTGTCCTAATTATATTGTGTCGGTTATTTCCTTGTAGAGATTATTTAAGACTACACTTTATATTCCGCAATTCATACCTGCTACTATTGATATATCTTGTGATTAGTGCGAATTGCTAACTTGTGTCATACACTTCCATATCTTGTGATATTGCTCAAGTAAGTTTGTGTAACTTACTTGTGTTTGTTAGTATCCTTGTTGTGCTCACCTTGTTTACATTAAGTTTTTGGTGCACTTAGCGCATCTCCAAGGCAGACCCGCAAACCTCCCGTAACCGTCCGGACCGGGCTGTCTAGACCACGAATGCCATCCAATGCCGACCTGTATCGGTCCGCGGAGCGATCTAAACATGATTTCTCCTGCAAATCGGAGACAAAAGTGGGGAAGGTTTGCGGGAGTCAGACTGCTCCCAAGCCCGCTTCCGACCGCCTTAGCCCACCAAAAACTGCCACCCCTTCTGCGCTTTCCTTCCGATGCACGCGCCGCTTACCGTGCCAGCCAGAGCACATGAACGCCAGCATTAATGCAACAATGTGACCGAAGGGAGGGAGGGCGGAGCTGACCGATGCGACCTCTCGGAAGCCGCCGCTTCAATGCGGCCGCAGGTTCCCGAGGAACCAACTCCAGCCACTGCGCCTCATTGAAGCGGCAGACCGACCCTTCGCATGGCCTGTCCGCGGCTATTTAAGCCACGCTCCAGCGCCCTCCACATCGCATCCTCTTCCTTCCTCCTCCTCACCGAACCCCCTCCACATCTCCGGTGATGGGCAAGTCCTGGGCGTTGGCGCCGGCAGGAGATTCTGAGGCAGGATCTGGCAGCTCGTGGAGACGCCGCCCTCGGACTTTGGGGCCGTTGTCTTCGTCGGTTGGCAGCGACTCCACGCGGGAGGTGATCGTCATCTCCTCCGGCGACGAGGAGGACTAGCAGTCGTCGCCGCCACAGTCCGCGCTAGCGGTGCTGGGCCAGGTATATGCCGGCACCGACGCGGAGTTCGAGGAGCAGATGGAGCTGATGCTCCGTTGTCCACACCAACGGCCCGGCTCCGCCACCCGGGGCGCTCCTCCCCATGATGCCGGAGCCGGCATCCCCTCCACACTCTTCCCCGCCGTGCAGCAACGACGTCCAAATTGAACGCCGCATCAAGGAAGAACGACTCTCCTAGCCTCCCCGGCACGCCGTGAAGGTGGAGCGTCGCTCACCGCCGCCTCACCTCGTTGTCAAGGAGGACCCCCCCCACCCCCGGCCAAGGTGCGCAGACGCATTCTGCACTACCTCCATAGCGACTCCTCGTCGCCGTCGTCGTCCCAAAGCGCCATGACGATGCAGGAGTACGCCAGCTGGAAGCAGCGCCGACAACACAGGCGCAATGCCGCACCCTGATCCCAGTTCGCGGACTCCGACGTTTCGCCGCCACACATCGCGGCGGACCCAGACATGGCATACACCTGGGCCCTGGACCGCTCCCTGACGACGTCGGAGACGGCCATGCACCATCTCCACAGCCTCGAGGGGGAGATGGCCAGGTACGGCGAGGAATGGTCCCTCGCCGAGATCACTGCTGACGCCTCCAACGACTGCCGCCCTCTCCCCCAGCCCATGTCCTCGGTGGCCGCGGCAGCATTGCGCACGGCGCAGAAGGAGGCGGAGAGGATCATCCGCGAGCGTCGGGCGGCCTTCGGAAAGCCCTGTCGCGGTGCCACCACCTTCCGCCTCCCCAAGCCCGACTCCGACGGCGGGCCAGACAACAATGACGAAGGAGGAGCAGCCGGTCACCCCGACATTGGCTATGAGGTCACCGTGAAGTATAGGATAGTTTAGGGTTTTAGTTTTAGGTTTTAGTTCACCAGACGAAATATTGTCTTGTTTTATTTACAAATTATCTTACTTTCAATGAAATGCGCCGTGTTTATATCAAAATTCACCGTGTTTGCACGGATTTCATCAGGTTGGTTTGAGTTGTTCTGAAAAAGTATGGAGCTAGCGTTGGATGGTTACCTCCCGCATCTGCATCCGCGGACTGGTCCCCTATCCGTGGATGGATGCCGGAGGTTTATTGGGAAAAACCTATTCGACACATTATGCGTCAAATTGACGGCACGTCGCACAGAGAGGATCGCGATCGACCCGACACGGGGTGGCCCATTTAGTAGCGAGACGGGCATCTCCCATATCCCGGTTTTGGGAACGTTCGCGAAGGTTCCGCAGCCGGTTTTTTCGGCTGTTGGAACCTTCTAGAAGGTTCCTGAATCATTTTTTCTATTACTTTTTTTCCTTTTCCGTTTATTTTTTATTTTTCTATTTCTCTTCTTTTATTCTTTGAATTTTTTTCTTTTCTTTTTCTCTCTTTCATCAAATGTTCAGGAATTTGAAAAATGTTCATTCTGAAATGTTCCTGATTTCAAATTTAGTTCAGAAATTCCAAAAAAGTTATAATTTCATATAATGTTAGATTCGTATACAAAAATTTTCAAAATTCAATTTTAAAAAAATGTAATACATGTTTTTCATTTTTTGGTGAAAAGTTCATAAAATGTTCAAAATTTCAAAAAATATTCCCAATTTCAAAGTTTGTTCACAAATTTCATTAATTGTTCATGCTTTTATTGATTTGTTCGCAAATTTTAAAAATGTTCAGAGACTTTGAAAAAAAAGTTCGTAATTTTTAGTTGTAATATTAAATTCAAAAGATGTTCTGGAATCTCCAAAAATGTTCCAGCGTTTCGAATTTGTTCACATACTAGGAAAACGTTCGTGTTCGCAGATTGAAAGAATTTTGTTCATTTTGTTCTTTGTAATTTTAAAAAATGTTTGCATTTTTAAAAAATTGTATATAATTCCGAAAAATGTTCATGTTTAAAAAACAAATCTCACAAATTTAAAAAAGTTTCAGAGTTTCCAAATATGTTCCAGCTTTTCCAAGTTTTTTCACATATTTGAAAAATGTTCCTGTTTTTAAATTTGATCCTAAATCCGAAATGTAGAGGGAGCTTTTGGAAAATGTTTCCATTTTGAAAATTTATTCATAATTTTGAAAAATGTTCGCATTTTCAAATAATGTTTCTTTTTTAAGATAATGTTTCTGTTTTTTTTAAATATTGTTTCTAATGTCAAAAATTGTTCTCGTTTTCAATTTTGTTCCTTTTTTCAAGAAATGGTCGAGAAATTCAAAAAATGTTCATGTTTTTTCATGAAATGTTTGTGTTTCGAAAAATTTGTTCATAAATTTGAAAGGGTTCACTTTTGAAAAATATTTACATATTTCGAAAAATAACTTTTGAAATTTCGAAAAAGATTTAAGTCTGGTGCGACTTATAGTTCATAAGTACTGGGTTGCTATTTTTAGTAACAATGCCTAGCGATTTTGGTTCACTCGCAGCTGGCCTCGATTATTAATGTTTAGATTTCGCCACTGTCGTTTCTTCTTTAAGAGCCGCAGTGCATCTATAGCACAGAAGCTCGATGGAAGGAGGTGCTAGCACAACTCGCTACTATCTGCCAAGTCTAGGTTCTAATCGCAGGATAGCCCCGCAGTCAGTTTTTTTGGCGTTTTTTCCACCACGTGAAGTGCCACCGCCTGCCACTCTGGGCCGGCCCAGGTGAGGCACGCCCTGTGCAAAACCTCGACACTCTGACGTAGAGAGCGTCACATAGGAAGTCCCGGTTTTTGCGGGTTGACGCTGAAGATGCCCTTAGGCCATGTTTGTTTGCGTTTTTGCTTCTACTTTTACAGCTTAGGAGCTTTTTGCTTCGACTTTTGGCCTTTTGATTCGGAAGTTTCCATATCTTCCTGGCAGGCCATCTTGGGCTCCTAACGATTACATGAACATTTTGGGAAGCAGTCCCCTTTGACTCTTGAAAGTGAATCAAAGACTGGTGGAGTCCACAGCAGTCGATACACGTCAACTCCCCCTGCCTTTGAACAAGAGGTCAGTGTTCTCTATGTTGCTTGCAACTGTCTCTTGGTACCTAATTAGATTAGATACCGTTGCAATATCATATGATCTCATTGTTTACAATCTCCACTGCTGTCGTAGCATATTTTTGTATATGTACTTCTTTGTATATGTACTGCTCCAATCAACCGTATCAAGATAAGTCAGTACACAGAGTCGGATACACATACAGTTTGACATTCTACTTGCCTTAGCACACCACTAGCAAAACAAAAATAAATGGCCAAGACAGCATACTAGACCTGGGTAGTATATCCATCAATCAAAAGGTCCATCTTGTCGCGGACAAGTCGGGACCAAGCAACAGTGATCTCCACCTCAGAGCCGCAAACCAAACATGTACGCTGACTGATGTTGCAATTCTCACAAGGGAAGTAGACATGAGTAGATGTAGAAGATCCCCCATACGTTTCTACCACAACATTCAACCCTCCTCCAGATTCAACCGAAACGACGTTTCTTGACAGAGGGAGGTAACCATCTAGATCTAACTCATCATCTTCTTGAGGAATTCCTTCAAGAGAATGAAACAGCACAACCTTCTCATGTATAGTAGAACTACCATCTGCACTAGATGACCAACAAAAAACTTCCCCTCCAGATTTAAAAGGATGACCCTCTCCGACAACATGAATCGACAAGATAGTTGTCTGGACCGTACTAGAAAGTCGTTCAAGGCTCAACACTCCTCTACACAACGGACTATAGAAGGTTAAACGTTGAATCTCACCGCTGGGTACGACCTCGTAGCGGTTGCTAACACAGATCAATTCTCTATCATTGATCCCATCACCTCTAAAATCATAGCCATCATGTACTCGCAGCTCAACTTCAAAGTCAACAGGGTCCACGGCTAAAATAGCACGTGACGGGCCAGTCAAGCACAAAGAACAGTCCTGCGAGCATTAGATCATTGTTGTGTTTAAATGGAGTGTTTTGCTGAAGAAGAAAATACCACTGTACTTAACAAAAAGGCAGAAAATGAAGAGAAAACTAAATATAGAACAGTGCATACATTTTCAGATGTAAGTAGTTGATACATAACACTTGACTGAGAGAAGAGAAGGTTGCGGTTGTGGTCCACGGTGTCTCGGGCAGCGACCACACCATACACATTGAGTGGCCATTTCAGGTCGCCACTTAGTCCAGTAATTTTGAAGGAGTAGATCTGCAAGGAGCTCTCAATAACAGCGGCACGGGGCGGGATGATACCGGGTATGCAATGCGTAAACTGCATAGGACTCAATAGAGCTGCAACACAATTAAGCAAAGACTAAGCAAATTTCTTGAGACATGCATACAGCAAAGAGTAAATAAATAGAGTTGAGTAAGCAAACTTCTCACATGCATAGAGCAAACATAGGCTTAGTTTTTTTTTAAACTGTGGTAATTTAAAGCCACGGTATTCCAACGTGTGGGCAACAAATACTACAATTACTTAAAACCATGGCTTTTCAGAGTTTTACAAAAACTACATAGATGTTTGGATCTACCATAGTTTTACAAAAACTACACATATTTTACCATAGTTTTGGCTGATTGTTACGGTGGATGACAGCTGAACCTAACTCAGCTCGGAGCTACACGACTAATTAGTGACTTCTAACAGCCGCCGGGCTGCATGCACCCGCCATGCAGCCCGGTCAGCACGCCAACACCTACTCCCTCCATTCCTAAATATTTGTCTTTCTAGAGATTTCAACAACTGACTACATACAAAGCAAAATGATGAATCTACATTTTAAAATATGTCTACATACATCCGTATGTCGTAGTCCATTTGAAATGTCTAGAAAGACAAATATTTAGGAACGGAGGGAGTAGATGCCAGGATCTGTACCAATAAATATACAATTCACTTTGATTGTTTTCTGATCAAATTAGAGGAGACGGACTAAGTAGTGTCACTACGGTGTTTGCTCCTGAGTTCTGACCAACTTTGCCATTCAACAAGTGTGTGACTTCAAATTTCTGTACTGCCATAACAACAAGCCAAGTGAAAGAAACAGACCTGAAACTGCTGATTAATCTAAGCAGGATGTGCATGATTGATATACAATCATTTGTGGCATGCATGTGCTAACAACCGCAGCAAAAACTATGGAATACTGTGGGGCCTAAGCAAATAGAGTTGAATGAAGTTAATTTCTTGAGAGATGCATAGCATAGAGCAAGCAAACAGTCTATGCAAATAGAGTTGAGTAATAAGCAATATAATAAAGCTGCAGCATATATGCATTCTGTACTTACTTTTATATTTGAATCCACCGCACTGACCCGGCTTGCTGCCACTTGAGTATTCCCATGCTCTACGGCGGCCTGCGAACAAACCCAGCTGGTTATCCATCCGCTCTTTAAGCTGCTCCGCTGGGGATTTTGCTTCCTGCTCATCAGCATGCTCCTCCACAATGCGCTGCTCCGCTGGGGATTTTGCTTCCTGCTCATCAGCATGCTCCTTCACAATGCGCTCCTCCTTCTCCACAATGGGCGCCTTGTTCTGCAGGATCTGCTTCCTCTTTGCCTCCTTCTCCGCCTTCCTTTGCTTGCTCATCTCCCTCCGCCGCTCCCTCTCCTTCTCTGCCTTCCTTATTGCCTCCCTCTTGGCCTCCTCCGCCTCCATCGCTGCCTGCCTCTCCGCCTCCATCACCCTCTCATATTCCTGCTCATCCTCCTCTGTAATCACCATCGCCAACTCATTTCTGTAACACAAGGGTCTCGCCAGGACATTGGAGGAGAGACGCAAGAATTCATTGGCAGCCATGATCTTCCTCACCTCCTGCTGCCTCCTCGTCTCCTCCTCATCCTCCTCCTCTTCCTCATCCTTTTTTTCCATCTTCTCGGTGATCTTCTCAGATGTAATAACTTGTGCATCCTCCTCCTCCTCCTCCTGCTGCTGCTGCTGCTTTTTCTTCTTCTTCTTCTCCTTCTCCTTCTTCCTCATCATAGCCCTCTTCTTCTTGTCCTCCTCATCCTTCTCCTTGTGCTGTTGTTTCTTCTTCTTCTTCTCCTTCTTCCTCATCCTATCCCTCTTCTTCTTGTCCTCTTTCCTCTCCTCCTCCTTCCTCTTCTGCTCCGCCTCTGCTGCCTCCGACATGGCCTTATCCACTGCCTGCTCGGTAGATTCGTAGAAATCCTTGGAGATCTTCACCAACTTGGATGATGTGCTAACCAGCTCGTCGGCCTTGTACAAGGGGATGTGGGAATTGGAGCAGGAAAGGAAATGGGACATGGATAGCATCCGCTGGCCCAAATCCTCAACATCCTCCAAGATGCCGAAGGGTTCTGTGCAGTCCACATTGCCCCGGACGGACGACGTTGCTGCTCGAGAGATCTCGTCCACCCAGCGAGAAATCCCCGGGGTAAGAGACCCAATCAAGTCTCTGCGCTCGCTCTTGAGGGACAGGATCTCCCCGATCAGCGCCGATAGCTCAGGGTCGGACTGAATCTCGGAGTCGGTAAAGAAGGACCTGGTGGCCATCTTCGTCTCTTGTCCCCAACACCGCACCGTTGATCTCCGCCGCCGCCGCCGCCGCTTGGGGTTGCTCCGGGATTGGGGAAACGGGGCGAGGGTTTGTGGCGGCGGCTGACGAGAGCGAGGATGGAGGGGAAGAAGGAAGGCTCCTGTGACCCAAGCAAGCCCAGTCCGGCGAGAAAAGTGTGGCCCAGTTCTCAGCTCGACGGCCCGTCCAGAACCTCCGTGCCCCTTATTATTTTGCCTCGAAAAAAATGTTTTTTTCAAAAACAAATGCAGGCTCTTGTCCAGTTTCCTAAAAAAACATAGCAAGCTTTTACTAAGCTTATGAAGAAATATACCCACATTAAAAATATCAAAAAAATCATTTGACATGACATGATACATATTTTATTTCATTTATTTACTACTCTTTCCGTCCCACAACGGTGCCAGCATAGGAACCACGCCCGAGGTTTCTCCAACTCTCTACCTCACTTTCAATACCATGAACAAGAGGGAGATAAAAATGAGGAAGACACAGGATAGATCCGGATCTGGCCGCCGCTTTATTTGGCAGGGAGAAGAAAAGAAGAAGAAAAACTGCCACTACACACGGGCACACCCTCCTTCCTCCCCCACTCCGACCGGCAGCGCCGGTGGAGGAGAAAGGAAGAAGGGCGGCCGGAATCCACGGCACAGGGGCCGACCTCACGCAAAGTCTGTTTATAGAGGACCCTCCCTTTCTTCCAAAGTTTCACCAAGTATAAAGCTTCCTTAAAGAACAAAGAAAATGAAATAAAAATAGAAACAAAATCAAATGAATGAGTTTCTAAGAAAGAATGAATAAGTGGAGTTGTTATGCTATTTCTTTTTAAATAATACACTTTTTTAATAAATTATAGAAATATTACGCCGTTTATTTTATTTATAAAAATAATACAACTTCGGCCTTAGGGAAGCCGACTGGACCCAGTCGGCCTGGACGCTGCCAATAAGTGGCCCATCATCCACGTGCAAGCTGACCATTGGCTCAACCATGTCACCCGCGGCCACTCGGCCTGGTGGCCATGCTGTCGGCCTGGCCCTGACCGACATGGCCCAGTCGGCCTCGCATAACCGACAGGTGGCTGAGAATCCACTAGCCGCCGCGCACCCCCTTCTTCCTCGTCCATTCTTCTTCTTTCCTTCTTTCTTTCTTTCTCTCCCCACCCAAAAACACTCTAATTTATACACGAAACTTAGCCGATTTGTTGCCCATTTTCCACCGTAGTTGCATTCTAGAGGGTTGGGGGAGGTAAGGGAAACCTCTATCTCGTGATGGGATATCTCGTGGTGATGGTTGTGAGCATTTTGGTGGTGGTGGTGGAGGTGGTGGAGGCTCCGGTGAAGCTCTAGCTCCGGCTCCGGCGATTGAAGGCCGCCGTTCTTCACTGCTTCGCACGCTTCAAGGGTAAGATTCAACTGACATTATCTCTGTCATTGTTGATCCGGTAGTATTCGGTAATATGTTTACATGTGAAATATTTAGGTGTGCGAATATTTTTAGTTGGTCCGGTAATATTTTGTAATATATTCGGATGTTGAATATTTAGGTGTGCGAATATTTTTAGTTGGTCCGGTAATGTTCCGTAATATATTTTTACGTCAAATATTTAGGTGCGTGAATATTTTTAGTTGCTCCGGTAATATTCCGTGATATATTTAGATGTCAAATATTTAGGTGTGCGAATATTTTTAGTTCTTCTTATAGTATTTTGTAATATATTTAGATGTCAAATATTTAGGTGTGCGAATATTTTTAGTTGTTCCGGTAGCATCCTGTGATATATTTAGATGTCAAATATTTAGGTGTGCGAATATTTTTAGTTGTTCCGGTAGTATCCTGTGATATATTTAGATGTCAAATATTTAGGCGTGCGAATACTTTTAGTTGTTCTGATAGTATTCTGTAATATATTTAGATGTCAAATATTTAGGTGTGCGAATATTTTTAGTTGTTCTGATAGTATCCTGTAATATATTTAGATGTCAAATATTTAGGTGTGCGAATATTTTTAGTTGTTCCGGTAGTATCCTATGATATATTTAGATGTCAAATATTTAGGTGTGCTAATATTTTTAGTTGGTCCTGCTGCTTAATAGTTGTCCATGTTGAATAATTTTTTAGGTCAGCAGAGATGTCGGATGTAGTGAGTTTTTCTTTTTTACTATGGCCTTAGTGTTGTCCGAACAAATGAGATGGGGGCTGATCAGAGTGAATTTCAATACATAGAGGTGCCCGAAAGGGACAAGTCAAAAATTCTGCCCAAGGAAAACTTGACTTACCCCAAAAGGAACAAGTCAAAAAGCAACCTAAGGAACACAGAGAGAAAAACAGCACAAATCTTGACAAAAGAATCAACGGAGGACAAAGCTAAAGTGACGAATAAAACACCAAGAAAACATCAGGCTTGGTCGGACTGCCACCGATTAATGTACTCGTATATAGTTATTATGTGGAAACATGCATGATGCCTGCATATTACGTAGGAAGAAAAGAAAGAGAGGGTGAGGAGCAGAGAAGCTTAGTTTTTTTTTTTTTGAGGGAGCAGAGAAGCTTAGGTAGATGATGAGTGAATTAACTGACAACTAGCTTGGCTCTGTTTGTGTGAAGTAGATTTGTCAGGTCAGCAAATGGTTTGATGAGGCGAGGGGGTGATCCTCAGGACAGATACGCGCGGCTGAAGAAGACAACAGAACAGAAGACTAACTGGAACTTGACCAGGAGGAAAAAGAAACATTTGGCCCGGGAAGGAAGATATAAATAACCATTAGTAGGGAAAAACCTATACACAGAATCTTATCAGCAGCGTGCTTTAAAATAAGGCGCTGCTGCTAATTAGCAGTAGCGAGCTCAAGAATAACTCGCTGCTGAAATAAATATAGCAGTAGCGCGCCCACTCAAAGACGCGCTACTGCAATAATTCTCACGAGGCCGCCGCAAGGCTAGTTATAGCAGCAACGCGTTATAACGATGGGCACTACTGCTACATAGCATAGTAGCAGCGCATTTCGCCAATAAGCGCTACTAAGCCATTCCATCTCCCACCCCCATCTCCTATCCGATCCACTCACAGCACACACTCACTGGATCCCCTCTCAATCCCCCGCGCCGGTCCTTCCCCGTCGCCCCTCCTCCCTTTGCGCCGCCCTCACCTCCTCCTCCTTGCTGGACTCGGTACCGGCATCCTCCTCCGTCCTCCCTCTCCACTCGCCGCTGGCCGGCCCCTCCTCGCTCCGCCTTCCTCCTCCGTCCTCCCTCCACTGGCCGCCGGCCGGCCCCTCCTCGCTCCACCTTCCTCCTCCGTCCTACTCTCTTCTCCCTCCTCGAGTCACCCCTCCTTCTCCCTCCTGCCTGCTACATTTTGATTTAGTTGATTTAGTAGGTTAGTTGATTTAGTTGATTTAGTTGATTTAGAACATTTTGATTTAGTTGATTTAGTAGGTTAGTTGATTTAGTTGATTTAGAACATTTTGATTTAGTTGATTTAGTAGGCTAGTTGATTTAGTTGATTTAGAACATTTGGATTTAGTTGATTTAGTAGGCTAGTTCATTTAGTTGATTTAGAACATTTTGATTTAGTTAATTTAGTAGGCTAGTTCATTTAGTTGATTTAGTATGCACCATTTTATTGTTATTTTTTTGTACATGGATAGGTACGTAGTTGCTTTTGTTTTCTTAATAAGTTACTTTTTGGCAAAATGTAGGTGATACCTTGTCATCTAATATGTTACTAGATCTTAGGATTATAATTGTCCATCAAATTGCTTCTCGCGGAAGAACCAAAAATATCACATGCTACTGTTTTTCTTTCATGTGAAGTGGATCGTTAATCCTTTGCTCATATTGCTTTAGGAAAAATGGCGCCACCACCACCACCACTATGTCGACTGTGCAAGTCAAGGTGCGCCAGCAACCTTGCAACTGGCAAGCTGTTCGGCATCTACTTCCAGCCGAGTTTTCGTCATGCGGCGGTAAGAAATTAGATGAAATGTAATAACTATTTTATTTTTAGTGTTGGCATTACTGCATTGTGTCATTTTGCTTATTTTACACAGATCGTCCCATGCAATGTGAGGTTGAAATTCAACAAGCTAACAGGAGACACTGTGACATTTGAGGCTCCTGGGGGGCCGTACACTATGGAGGT